CTCTCTCTCTCTCTCTCTCTCTCTCTCTCTCTCGTACAACGTTTAGTCGCTTTTAGCAATTTCTCAGTTAAAAGTAAGTTAAAAGTATTTCGTTAACTATAAACTGTTCACTACTGAGCGAAACAGGCATTTATTGCGATATTCCCGGCGCTGTTCAGTCCAATAAAGGGAGAGCCGCCATATATATGGTATGACATGTTAGCCATACCAATGCCATACCATCTCCAGATGATACTAAGCTATTGGCAACGGCGGCACCTCTTATTGGACTGTAACGGACAGCGCCGGCAGGAATGCAATAAATGCCTGCCTGTGTAGGAGGCAGTTGTCATCAGTTTATAGTTTATACTTTTAACTCATTTTACTTGTGATCACAACTTGAAAGCGACTAAACGTTAAATTTAGAGAAAGAAAGAAAATAAATGAGAGAGAGAGAGAGAGAGAGAGAGAGAATGGGGAGAAGTGGTAGTGTTTTGCATCTATTAAAATAGAGTGTATAATAAGTATTACTTGTTTTTTGAGGACAATTATGTGAAATTGTGAACCGTATCTCTCATATAACATATGATAACAATGAACATAAATTTAGATCTCTTCTGCCACTGTGTCTGCAATCAAATAAACATTAAGAGTGTTTCATATAATGGCATATCGTATCTGTCATCCCATTGACCCCCTCTTGTCCTCCGCTCCAAAAACAGACTCCAATTCTCAGTGAAGTGTCTTTTGATTCATTTTCACTCGTTTTCAGATATTTTTTCGGATGTTTGGCAGCACTTAATGCCCGAAGACTTCCATTAATTTGGAGTAAAACGCGTGTCAAAGCATTGCCTATACTTTCTATATATACAATATTGTGAGAGCAGAGCATCTCTTCTGATAAAGAGTAGGAATAAAATATGTGTTTCCATAGCGACAAATCCCAGACCAGTTGGGAACTGATTGTGTGATATCTGAGGACACATTTGGGCGTTTCCGAGCAAAGATATGCAAATTCTTATGCAATATATGCCATACTTTGTTCACTAACCAAAAGTTATACTACAGATTCACACACAAAACTCATTCATGTCTTTCTTTATATACATCACTAAAACCCATATCCGATGTATTGCTTCTGCCTTTCTCTCCCTTTTTGACATTTCAGTGAATCAAATATTTGCAATAAATATAATTTATTTATTGTGTATTCAATGAGCTCTACCTCTTTGGCAAAGCTCTAACATCACTGACATTATGTAATAACTACTGTACTGGCAGTGCATCAGAACCGGTAGGCAATTACAAAAGGATACTGTGATTATACAAATGCTTATCAATTCACAGAATATATAAATATGTGAATCCATTATAATTGAAAGCGTCGTTACATTAAATCCATTTCCTTATAACTGTTTATAACATAAGAGTTTTTGTTTTCATCGTTTATATTTGACAAATATTTCAAAACTCTATTTCGCAATTTATTTTTAAAAAATATTTGTAAACTTCTCACTAAAACATACAATAAATATGATTATAACAAGAGATGAAAAACATTGTTTAATGGACTCATAAAACAAATTTAATTTCTCTAAACTCTTGTTTCGATATATTGTTTTGAAAGCATTGATTCAATAAAAATGTTTGGATTCGTATGTAATGTCACAGATTTGGCCAATTGTTGTGTGTATTGAGAGCCGCCAACAGTCAGTGAAGAGGTTTTGATTCGCAAAATAAGAAAAAGCAAAACAAAGCTATCGTTGGAGAGAGAGAGAGAGAGAGAGAGAATTAAATTTCAAATCACAAACACTTGACATATACTGTAAGTAAAACTCATTTTACTTGTGATCACAACTTGAAAGCGACTAAACGTTAAATTTAGAGAAAGAAAGAAAATAAATGAGAGAGAGAGAGAGAGAGAGAGAGAGACGTATAGATCAATAAAATTAGTTGAAAAGCCGCTCAACAAAAGGCAAAATATTCGACAAAACTATTTGCTATTAAATGAATGGAGAGAAAGAGAGGTCTCTTCTTATATGAAGCCATTTGGATGATTGTGTGCACTCGTATTCCTCCGGTAATGTCGTTGTCATGACAATCAAGTCATTCTTGGAGTGGTGTTATCCGCGAAGTCCCTCCACAGCTTCCACAACGTTCCCAATGCGGCAAATGATAGCAAATGCCTTATGCGGTGCTCTTAAGAATCACATTCACTATAATATACAGTAGTTATAGCTTTCGGTATTGAGAAGCGAATGGAGACGTGATTTGCAAATAAATTACTCTTTAGTTTTTCCCTAAAACTCTAATAATAATTACATAAACTTTTTTAAGAGAAGTTTTATTTTCATATCCATTGCACACTAGAATAGTCTTTTCATAATTAGGTATTTCTTTTCGTTTCACTTAACGATGCCATCAATGCATCAGTGGTTGACTTAATACAGACAACACGCGACTCAAAACACATATTATATAAATAAATGTGTTTTTTCGGCACTAAATTTTGGGCTCAACTGAAGACTCATTGGAATAAACATTAAAATGCTTTTGTGATCGCAAACAAAGGATTCCTATTTCCAAATCATTTCTTAATACTGTTTGCGGTTCTTATTGTTTCTTTCAATTCAATCATCACTTATTCAGTTGTGAAGCGAACTTAAGGTTTACACATTTTGCGTGATTTTATTTGAAATCATTCATTCATATAATATTTTGGATTAAATTATTTTTACAATTTTATAAATCTTTGTATTGATATCCAATATTTCTAAAAATAAATAAAACATTTGAATCAAATGTTATATAAATGCTTGAGAAAAAAGTGGTTTAACCTTAATTAAAGATATTATTATTGCCACAGATAGAGCTTTGGAAATAATGAGAGAGCGAAACACACTATCTATGAAATGGTTGACAAAACTTGTGAGTTCTTTAGGCATTGGAATCAATGCTCACATTTAGGAAATAATTTCTCAAATTATTGACTGAAGAAAGACAGGGAATGACTGAAAATGAGTGGAAATTATTAACTAAAACTGTTAGCAATAGAAAGTGAAGCGAATGCAACACAAAAAAACTTAATCATAAGGTTTACAACGACTCAAACGTATAAAATACTACTTAAACAGAAGAAAGTAAGGCTTAGATAATGATGAGAGGATCATAAGCCGTATCCGCACCACTAAATTGCGACATCAGATTGAACTCAGTCTCCATTATATTAACTGCATTTCACTTCAGACTTCAATTCATGTCATATTATAGTTACTCTTTCGGTATTGCCATTGATTTTTACGATACAAGAGAATGCATTCAAAAACTAAACACTAACTCAAGACTTTAGAGTTACAAACATTGCTTTCATTGACTGACTCTCGCTATCCGTTGAGAACTCGAAGCGCTATATCTTGTGAACACTTCGTGTCTCATATGATGTGTTCACTACTACTTCTCTACATTACTCTTAACGAAATTTATATAATGTGTGTCTCATTGAAAGCATTTTGTTATCTAATATACAGTAAATTCAATTAATTCTGTTTAATAAGACTGTAAAACAAATGAATTTTCTAACGAATCGATGTTTGCACTTAAGATTAAAAACACATTGCATTTGTATTTTCAAACAAATCAATCATCTCTTTTTCGAGAGTGTTTTATTCAATCAAATTATAAGTTATAAACACAATAATAATGTGAGGTTTTATTCAATGCTATGAAAGGTAATGAATATATTCCGTCAGAATTTGCATAACATGTGCACATATTATTAGTATTTTATTTTAATCTTTAGATTTATTGTACTTATTATACGTACAAATATTTAGCATTAATAAAGACAACATGCAAATATTATAGATTGAAATTTATTATCCATTCGTATATTTGAGACCTCATTAAATTCAACAGTAAATTTTGATTAGTGTTGAGAAAATTAAAATTAAAAGTTATGTTTAATATAGTTATGGCATAAAAAAGTATTTGTTATATGAAGTAAAAAGATGTGATTGTAAATCAGGTGCACATAAAGTCAACAATGATTATGAACGGAGTGTGTGTTCGGTGGAGAGGATGGCTAGACCTGGAAAGGCTGGACGGCGTGGCCTGTCTTGAGTACGACGAAGAGAGGGGTGCGATAGAGGACTCCATATTAAGGGAACAAATGGAAAGATATAACTCGCGAATGAGAGAATTGGAGGAAAGACAGCGTCTATTCAAAGTGGCTCAAGAAAGACAGGCAGAAGCGGAAGCAGAGGTGAGACATTTTACTGCCTTTTATATACACTTTTTTCCGCTATTCTCCGCAATCACTGCAAAATCTGCGAAACAAACTGACAGTTCGGGTATTGAAAGGCAAACCCTATTTGTGTTTTTGTTGAACGACTTAATAGAGAGGCATAACTCGATTGTAAACATAATTGGCTATAAGACAGACCTATTGTCCATATGTTTGCAGCTGTAAAGCAAAGAGCAAAGCGAAAGACATTTTCTAATTTGTTTCGTAAAAACTTGTCAATGCGTTCAATGTCTGCAAACACGCGACAAAACTTAGTGAAGACCTAAGCATCACATTTGCGATACCGTTCTCCAGCTGTGCTGCCGGTGCTGTCGGGGCTGTACTGCTGTACTGCCTGTCGGCTAATGCTTTGAATGAAGAGATACTTTGGTTGTTGGAGTTGTTGTCGCTGTTGGCGTGTGAAGCGTCTAATGCCTTATGTAATGTTAGTATCAATGATGTTGTGCTTATGATAGCACTTATAATACACCTGACGCTCCTTTACCGGCCTCTCCAACACCGCTTCAATACTGCAAAACCGTTTGCTTTCGTGGGAAAAGAAAGCAATGCTTATTATGATTACGTTTTTGTTCAATACTTTGCCAAATAAAACGCAAACATATAATTGTGTTTTCAATTGAATTACATTTTGTTATATTCTATTCAAAAAACTTATGTTTTTCATTGAGTTTTTCTCCACTTTTGTGCAGAATTAGTGTAATATTCTGTGGATTCACTCAAATATTAAGCCTCTATTTTCTAATGCATTTATTTCAAGTGCTAGTGTTATAGAGATATGGATTTGAAAACAATTTTTGAAAGCAAAGCAACCAAAGACACGACACGACATCACACGCACACATCACTCGCTTCTTAACTGTTATTTCCCACATTTTTCAATAAAAAATACTCATATTTTTATGTATTTTATCATATTTTGAATGTTTTTTGGTTAATAGCATTAAAATGAGTGAATTATTTAGTAATTATAATAGAATTTTCCATTATTTCCTAAAAAGTATTACTATTTTTGGAGAGATTTTCACTCAATAAATGGGAATAAAAGTGGAGAATATGGTATTTAATATGGTATTTGGCTTTTCATCCCACGCATAGAATGGGCTATTTTTCTGCAAAAAAGTTGGGATTTATCATAAAAATTCAAAATCCCGGATCACTTCTCTATACATGTATAGTGTTGTGTACTTTCATTCACATATTCAGTAGTTTTTCATTTATTTGACTTACAATACAGTAGTGTTAGTAAAGCGCGTCAAAAGTGGATGAGAGGGCAGAGAGAAGGAGGGAATGAGAGGAGGATTTGATTGAAATATTGGGCGAAATGAGCGGCGATTCTGCAGCAAAAAACCAAGTGTTAGGAGAAACTATTGATTGTAAAGGAAAATGATATAAACATAGTGTCGAAGCAGTGATTATATTATATTTTGTGTTGAAGTAAAGGGGATGTGAGCGCCGGGAGAGAGCGGGGGCTAAATGAGAGCCAAATCTGTATTTTTCGTATTTATAGACACACGACCTCTGGTGCGGCCGACGACTGTCACGACTGTCGGCGCTCTGCAGACACACGACTTGACAACAGAGTCTTGTTGTTAGCCATCATTTTAGGCATTATTAGTTTGTCATTCAATATAATTACGGGTTTTGTATAACACTCTGTATAACAGCGTTAACTCAATCACAATATCTAATTGTAGGATAAAATTGTTACTCAAATACTGTTAACAATCAAATACTAAAAGCGTTTTAATGCGCGACTTATAATCATAAGCTTAAAAACATTTTCAACATCTAATCCAATCGCAAATCATTTCTTCTTTTTTTATTCATTCAAAAACCATTAATGAAATACAAATCCAAATGTCAGCTAAAAATGAATGACTGAATCCAATGTGACTTAACTGAAGGTTATAATTAAAGTAAGGAAAACTGGTGATGATATTCAGGCGCTAAACATTTTTTATTTGTTTTGCATTTACTATTGAAAGCATTAGATTCTTATCGATTCTTATACTGTATAATGTAGTGAACTGTCGGTTAATTCTTTATACAAATCATATATTATTAATAAATATATATCTTATTTATTTTGTTTATACATTAATCGTAAAGAGTGTATAACTAATGATTGTTTTTTGTTTATATATTGATAGCTCCGAAAGAAACACCGAACAGAGTTGAGTCCCGAAAGAGCCGGTTCTGCCAGCAATTGATGACTGTTTGAAAAATATGTCATTTATTGGAAATGATTGAACAAAAGACATAACATTATCAGATGAACCCAATGAAGTGACCGGTGCTAACCATACAGACGGTGCGACAATACATTATAATGTAGTGAATACTCAAATCGCAATATTTATATATTTTTGACGATAAATTCATTGGCATTATATCTGATGAAGAAATATAAATGTGTTTAATGACTGGAAACACAACAAAACCTGTATTATAGACACAAATTAACTGATTGTAAAACATTATGTGATATCTTATAAAAGTTTAATTCATTGATATTTCTAAATAATTGATTGCTTTAATTGAAGGCAACAAAAAACAAAAGAAACACAGGAATCAAGTTATGACATATATTCATGTATTCCTGTATTCAGGTTCTCAAACATTAAACCCATTTCGACGGACAAGATATCGATCTCACAATGAGTTCCTATTTTCACAACATTTCTCTCTTTTATAGTTGCGATTCATTCTCTTATAAGTCTTCTCAACAAAACAAAAAATAACATTTGTTTTTATATTTCTTATAAGACTTAATATATTATATATAACTTAATATGTAAATTGGTGTATAAAATATATATAAATATATAAATATGAAAAGTAAAAATATAAAGTATATAAAATAAAAGTAAAATTTAGTTGATTTATACGATTGTGTTTGTTATTTAAAATAAAATTTTAAAACACAGGCAATGAAGTTGTATTCGCATCAATGCTTTACAGCTATTGTCTATATTGTCCGCATTTATAGCAATTTATTCAATACTTGCATCTCATTTAATATACAGAATAATCGACTGGAAATGTAAACGACTCAACAATTAAGTTAATTTAATAACTGTTTTGCATATTTTTAATGAGTTTAAATAATGGTTCAAATTTAAATTAATCTAAAAATATTGTTATATATAATAATAGGCAATATTTGAAGTTTTATTTTACGGATATGATTGACGTAAACGTATTTTTTGTTATAAGAATATATTATAGAAATGTATTTGTTTTTTGGTTAGTTTAGCAGATTTAGGAATATATGCTATCATATCATATTCAGTAAGTCTAATATTAGGTATACTGTAGTAAAGCTCGTATTGGGTTGTGTTTGTGTATGTGTTTTGTGGGACAAATTTTCAGCTGTTATTCAAATCAAAGCTATTGTAGTGAAGAGGCGTAGAGTAGTGTACTGTTAGGCCACTACACTATTTTGCACCCATATATGCAAATTAGGGTCTTTTAGAGGCTCATCCTATTGTATAAACCTTTCAACTTATTGACCGAAAAGTTTTCACTTCATTTCATTCAGACAGTGAGCCCTAAATGCAGGTGAATATGCAGTGGAGGCTCAAAACCCACTGCATATAAATCCAATAATGAACACAAAGTATTTGCAAAATCTTTTTTAAAGAGGGGACTCATGAAAAATGACCGAAAATTGTAATAATGAAAACCAATTGTGAATATTTCAGACCTGGATCTCAATCTCTTTAAGCATGAAGTTCTGCAGATGTCTGACATGTCTGCAGAAGAATTTCAACGAAGAAAAAAGGATTCCTTAAGTCTAAGCGTTATAAACAAAAAATCACAGACAATGATAGGGAAGACCCAAACCGACAGTACTGTATATTCTCTTCTTATGGACACAAAGTGTGTGAACATAAAAAGAGTGCCACAAAAAGCCCTTTCAATACAATCCTTACAATACGTATAGTGTATTGCTGTGTATATGAACGATGGTTTCAATGGTTTGGGTGCTCTTCGGTATATCCCGTAGACGACGACTGTATGACTCAATAGTTATATATTTGAATAAAATAATTAAATAGGAATTTATGCCGATTTGAATCCAAATAAACCAATATTTTAAAGAAATGATTGCATACAAGGGTTAACTCGCATATGAGTCTGGCGTACATTCAGTGCACATTCAGTGAGCATTGGGTCGTATTAGTGGTGCCGTGAATAGAGCACGTGTGCCATCACTCAACCGGAAGATCATTCGGTCTTAACTTCATTTTATAGCAAATCAATTGCAAAATAACTAAATATTTCAAATATATTTTTTATATACAGTACACTACCATTCAATGAATATATATTATATGCTAAATACCAGACTTACTATAATATAAATACCCGACTCTGTTATTGTTATATTGAATAACAAAATTTTAATACCAAACTGTCTATGAAATTAGTATTCATTGGTGTTTTTATTATACAATTAGTTTTAATTTAATATTTTATTGTTTGATAATTTATATAAAAACATTAATACATTTAATTTATTTATTTTATGAATTGTATTTATATTTTTAAACCTAATCATTGATTACCCGGAAAACGATTTTAAGCTAATTTTTATTTCTGTTGACTTTTAATTGAGTTCAAAGACATTCAGTTTTTAAACAATTTTTTATTAGATTTTAAAACATTCATTAGTTGTTAATAAATGTTGAAACAAATGGTATTTCCATTTTTATGACTTACACTTTAAGCGATAAACATTTTTGTTTCACTAATGTTTTGACATTAATTTCCATCATTTCCATCACTCGATCGCATCATTTCATTAACTCATTAATGAATTTAAATTTAGATTTTAACAACTCATCCGGTGTTTTGAGTTTTAGTTTTTAGGTTTTGATAATTTATTTAAACATTTAGTTTCTTGTAATAAAAACGAGCCGAAAAATAGGGACCAAGTTCTTAGAAGTTTGTGAATAAATATAAGTATTTTTGGTTACATTTAATGGCCAGACATTTGTGTTGAAAAATTCCTCGTTTATTGGTTTAAACCATATATTGAATAAGTGCTGAACAAAAGCATTGAATTTATAGTTTATTTGATTCGCATTTGGCTTTGACTTGAAGTGAGGCTAAGTTTCAGTAAATAAATAAATATAACTTTCAGTTATCTCTTATCAGAAGATCTTTGCGAAGATGTTTCCAAAAGTTATTACTTTCTATACTTATTCAGTGTATTGTGAATATCAATATACGAGTGCTTTTGAAGACATATTGAGAGAGGGAATGGTTGGAGGAATGGATGGATGTGTTGGTGATATTGGTGCTGACTATAGCTGACTATGGCTACAATTAGTGCCCCTCGATATTCACGCCAAACTGATCGCACGTGCATTTAAAGACCTCCTGCAGTGTATTTTCAAATAAAAAGCGATGGCTTTCTCTCCTCTTTTAGGCCATTCACTGATGTATACAAGAAACTCATCCGTAAAGGCATTATCGCCACTGTATTCGTCTTAACCATTGAGCCAAATGTTTGCAAATATAATTCAATTATTAAACAAAACCTAATGAATACATCGCTCGCCAAAACGCAAAGTGAATATTGCATTGTATTCAGGATTTATGAAATCAAAATATATATTAGTTTTGTCTCTAAAAGTGAAGTTTTTGATTGTTTGGAGAACTCGTTCATTATATTCTCCCTTAAGGCCATTACAATTAGAGAGTGAGCGCCGATATTACATACGATGCCCGCCCTTTCGGGCTCTCTATCAACAAGTTTAAGCTTTTCAGTCAATGAAAACATCTGCACATCTAATATATCCAATACTTCACTACAGAATACCATTCAATAATATCTATCATAAAAAAAGTATATGAATTGTGTTGAATATGCATTAGTGTTGATCATTGCGTTTGGCTTTGGCTGTCCGGACCACTAGTTTTATATGAACTCATACTGTTTGGCATATGTGTGACAACCAGTTGTCCCGACTATGTGTTAGGCAATAGCAGGTGGACATGTATTAGCGCTAATAGTGTACAATAGTGTATATAATGTTAAGCAACTAAAGTATTTACACAAACATAGTATCGGCTCCGCAATACAGTAGAGCTACTGATGTGTGCACTCAATACATGCAAAGTGTATGACTTTGTTTATTTAGCCAACTATTTAAAGTCAAATCGTTTGCTTTTATCGCCACATCAATAGTGCTAGTGTTGTGAGACATTAGCTCTTATTATAGCCTTTATTATTGTAATCTATTGTTAAAAAGAGTAAAGATTTAGACCATTAAAATATCTTGAGTTTCAAGTGTTGCAAAACATACACAGGAAATGGAAATCAGAGTTATTATACTCACCACTGAAGGCAACAGTTTTCTCTCTCTTCTCTCTCGACTTCTTTTACAAGAAAAAAAGTTTAAGTAAAACACAATAAGTTTGCAAAGAATTGTTGAGAATATGAATAATAATAATAAAAATAATGGCCTAAAGAATATGTGGGAAAATATTTGGACTAAATTTTCTACGAATGCAATACTAGTTGTGAACAGAAAATAGTTGTAGAAATTGTATGAAATTGTATAAAATGAATGAATTGGTGTGACTGTGACTGGGATTACCATTATTTTAATAATACATATATATTGTATAAATGCATGCAAACAGGCATTTGGCTTAACCCACGGATCATAACAGAATCCAAACAAGTAAACAAAGTATGAATAATAATAATATGATTGTGATATATATATATTGAGGATTAGCCTCCAAATAGAGGCAATACATATCGTTGTGATTCTGGTGTTGAATGTATGAAAAGGGACGAGTAGTCTGCAGGTCCGCACTCCTCCCCACTCTTTACTATGGATGGAGAGTCGGAAATATCAGTTCCCAATGATAGGGATCCCCAATGATAGGGATCCCCAATGATAGGGATCACGGAATGATAAGTGATTATAGTTTTGCGTGTATTTTGTTTTGGCTATTATTCAGTCTATGAAATGGACTGGTATTGATGGCATTGGGGGCTAATTTATAGCCATCGATACTCCAACTCTAATGTATGCAATATTTTAATGCATTATAAAAATACTCTTCCGTTGGGCTAACCGTCCAAATGGTTCTCATATACTATTCATATAGAGATGTAAATAACATAGAAAAAAGTTGTGCTCCATTACTTCGATAGGCATTAGTAGATGTGATGGCATAAGAATTGAATTGAATGGTAAAAATAGCAAACACTAAGTTTCTTATCAAGTTTTCCATGAATGAAGAGGTGAAACGGTAGCTCTGGTAGGACTGGCAGTGCTGTCACAACCCATTGTAGTAAAAACTGGTGGAAACCGTTTTTGCTAAACAGCGCCTCTACTCATGCATATGTGAATGGGTTGTGTATTTATGTGATGGCTATTTGGCTCAACATTTCTTCATTTCCCACCCAAAGAAGTCATATCCATATCCATCAATACCTCCCGGAGTTGACCCCTGGCGTTGAAAGTGCATGAAGTGGTAAACGTAACGCCCAAACACACCAACAGCTGCTTTCATCTCTTGACATCGGGGGTCATAAAAGCACAATAGGGTTAAAATATCGATACAAACGCCACAATAGGTTGTCTGAAAAAATCGCGATAGCCTTACAAACTATTGTATTAATTCTCGCCAATGACTTGAAATAAGTCATTATATTCTGTGATTCTGTGATTGAAAAATATTGACATTTTTTGGAAATAAACGCTAAAAGTCGCGAATGCATTGAAATTGATTGCCTGTTTCTCAACGACCAAAAAGCGTGAAAAACAAGTTAACAATTTTTAATCACTTTTAGATGGTTTTTTGGTCAATGTTTTGGTGATGTGAGCACCGGTATTGAGCCCATAGTCGTCGGCCTCTCGTACTTTCAAATTAACAAATACCGGATGAGTGGCAAGAATTTGTCGTTTCTTAACAGATGAGGTATTTTTCCTAAAGAAGTATTGCATGTTATGCTTACGTCAATGCCGTATCAAATTGTCTTGTTTTGCACCGTTTTGAACAGTTGTCTCTCCTCTCACATCAGCTCAACTGATCACCGATTCATTGAATAAAAAAATCTCAGTGAATGAGAGAATGGCTCAGACAAGTGGTCTTCAGCGCATCAGTCAAGTCCTTAACAACTGGAAAAGCCGTTCAAATTATGCCATAAAATCCGATTAAAAGACAAACCTTTTCATGAAATAAGGGAATCAACGAATTGAAAAGCATTGCAGTGTTAGCTATGACTAGTGAGAGACCAATGAATAGACTTATTATTATAGTAAGCATTGGGGCGATTGGGCTCCGCATCACTTCCAAGCGATTGTCCGGATTATAAAATAGTAGTTCACAAAAAAAGAGTCCCTTTTAGACACTGAACTAACACTAAATGCATGCCTGAAGGCAATGGTAGGGAAGCCAGTGTTGGGCGCATCAGTTCAAACAAACGACAATTCAGCACAAATCTGCTCAGTTCTCAACCCGATGCCCATTATCTCTGTTTCTCAGCCATTGTCCTCAACAGCTCTATCCCTACTCTATCTACTTACTAGAGCTCTCTCTCTCTCTCTCTCTCTCTCTTTCGTATATTTATAACTTTTGATTGAATGGAAAACTTATCTATAGATTATCGCAAGTGATAATCATTAAACAAATTTCACATTTATATTACGCTTTAAACCGATTGAAAGCTGAAGAACTAAACGAATGGTTAAAAACTTTTTTAGACGGTTTAGAGATCAGTCCGTCCGTCCCTAATGGGCTGTTATATTATATTTCAGACATTCATTGCAATAACAGTAAAGAATTAGTGAATTTGTAGTAAACAACTGAATACTAGTCACAACTGCTATACTTTTCAAGATATCGTGTGTTTGCAAAAAAAAACCTAAAGTAGTTTTCTTTACAAAATTGTTTTCAACTCAATTTGCAGTCATTTAGTATCACGTTATTTGAATACCGAGTATATCTCTGTATGTATTGAATTCCCATTGAATATAATTAATATCGTTTGACAAATTTATTATGCTAAACTTGTAGTATTGTTTAATAAATAATATCCAAATGTCTATACATTATCCTAGTATCTATTATAATGTTGGTTAAATATTAATATAATAAACATTTACATGCAAACAGAGAGAATATAGAGAATATCTCTCTATATTATTTCAGAGTCTGTTTGTTTGAAATTCATACTCTATGCGGCAGACCATTGGTTTTATCATAGTTTTATTCCTACATAATTGTAAATGTAAAAATACATTATCCTAGTATAAAAGATACTAGCATAATGCATAGACATTTGGATATTATTTATTAACAAATAAATATTAGAAATATCAACAATAAGTTATTGTATACTCTTTTTAACACTTTATAATTGTTGTGATTTTACTTTCTATTGAATAATAGTTATAAAAATGCCATTTATTGGTCTTTTTGTCAAATATTAGCTTTTGTTATATGATATGAACGAAAACCAATTGAGTAATGCGTTACTGAATATCATTATATAACTGCATACAGAATGTAATATACATTTGCTATACAAAGTCTAGCCATTTAATAGTTCTCACATTCCTGTCATATTCTTTAATTATGTATAATATATACTGTTTTTGTGATTTTAATAGTCAATGTATTGCAGAATTATTTATAAAATTTTGTGAATAATTGCAAATAAATTAAAGATACAAAATTTGCATTTAAAATGACAATACAATGAAAATGAGTTGTGTTTCACACATAATATAATTATGCGTTTAGTATATCTGAGAATCGCATGCAATGCATAACCGAAACACTAATTATAGGTTGAAATCAATGTAAAGTATTGAAAACATCATTTTTCTAATGCAATAAAAATATCATTTACTTGCATATCAAACACATTGAACACAATTATGTTTTTTAGTATGTTTTTCAATATTTTTCAGCTAATGTTTGTAATCACATATCCGGCAGCTGTCTGTCTGTCCCGTGAAATGGCATTTCATCGCTATATTAAAGCATTTCGTTTAATAGCCCTCTAGAAGTGATAATTGGTGTTTGAGAGTTGACCTAAACTTATGATCTAAACAATGGCTTTTAGTGTATTCAAGTCCATAAGGGGTCCCGCAATTCAAGTGTCGCATATCTTAACTGCTTATATAATACGAGAGCCGTATATAAAAAGTAAAAGCTTTTGAAACGACAATAAGATTTGTTGCGAAAATAAAATAAAATCTCATAAAAACATATTTTGTGAGTACTTGCGCTCCAAACAAATATTGAGCACTCAATACATAAGAGTGACAAATACTTCAATACTTGACCCACAACTAGGAGTTGGCGGATAAGAAAGTGACAGCAATTTTTGACAAAAACAGGGACCCATTCGACCCATTCTTCACATCCATTGCTTAAACGTATTTATTATTCAATCGCAACGAAAGTGACGAAAGGAAAGACTATTGTTTGCCTTATAATACAATAGTGTTTCAAATTCTGTACCTATTCTTTGCTCTCAATGCTATAGAATATTGAGTTCTTACTAAATATTTTTATATAACTTATTAAATGCAAGGATTCATACAAATCAGCAATTGAATAGAAAAATGACATCGAGTTATAACTCCTTTCATTTCAAATTTCATTTTAATAATATGTATTCAAAATTGCTGTCAATATAATTCTGTGCTATAAAAAGGATTTGCATCAATATTAAGCCCAAAAAGTAGGCCTCGATTCGGTTTTTATGGGAAAAGATGTTTCAAAATCTATAAATACACTCAAAACATATTAATACCTAAATTATCAATTTGACAAATTATAATCACAGTATATATTATATGTAAAGTATTAATAGTATTGGTAACACAGACTTACTGTATACAAGGGAACGTTACCTAGAACATTGTATATTTTAAAATAGTTTGTTATTTTAATTAAACACTATTACCAAGTTTTAAAAAGTTAGAACTACTAGTTATTGATTGGTAATATTAGTATCATTAATGGACTACTGATGTCTGGTGTTTGTCACAAAATTTATATTTCATAATATAATCTCTGAACTACTTTCATGATAGTGTTTTAAATACACATGTGTTTGGTGGTCATATTTTTGGTCAATCTATTGGCTGTGTATTACATATTAACCAATTCATACTTTTATAAATATTTTCATTATGTAGTTTTCATAAAACTTAACTCAAATAACAAAACTACCGGTATATAATATTTGTATTATAGATCGCCCATGCTTAATCCATTTCTCTTATGCATATCACACTAACATCACGTATTAGTATGGCTTTTAATATAATTAAATTAATAGTAATAACAATTAATAATTTCTAAATAAAAATGCTTAATAAATTCAATACTTTATTGCATCAATAGTTAATCCATTAAAATGTAAATTTTCAATATTTAATTTGTATAAATGTTTTATCAATAAATACTTTGCATAAAAACATAAATTATAAACATTTTTCTGTAATAATAGTTTCATTTAAAACATAAATAATTGTAAATCTCATTGTTTTCAATGGATTCCAAATCGGATGCCATTTAAGCGCCAGATTTGGAAAACATTTGTGTGGATCCGCTTTGAACCCAAGACAGACCGGTAACGGACGGGTGGGTCGGATCAGCCAATTGGCTCTCTTCGTGAACATTAACGCCGGACAAGAGTTTGCGCTGCAATTCCTGATGAATGTCGGCATCAAATGGACCGAAAATAATGGCATTCGAGTCGTCGGTATTGTATTCATTAATCTTTTGATTGCATTGTCGTATAGTTTGTGTCACTTTGAGCCGAAAGCCATCCATGTTTTCTCTGTACAAATCCACTGCTTGTGTGTTAAACATATCACACGATAGTAATGACTCGTTTGGCAGACAATCGGTTAAATCAAAACAATTGAACACTCGATTCGCGTAATCAATCACTTCCCAAACGTTGTTCACCGAAGACTTCCATTCAGTGAACGCCAGACTTGTGTTCAGTTCACCACTCAATGGATTGATCAGCGGATGGAAAGGAATCGCGTCAAACACTATCTTCTGTAAGGTTTAAAGACAAACAAATTGTGATTAAAACTAAACAATAAGTGGAGTGAAGAGACGGACCGGTATTTCGGTGGTCGGGAAGGCGTTAGGGATGAGGACATGAAATCGCAATACAATCCCACGGTATAGGCCTTTGTGGACAAACATCACTCCAAACCATACTTTAAAAAACAATTCACATATCAATAGTTTTAGACAAATCGTGTCCACAATTAATGGCACCACAAATACTCACCAAATGTGGAGGAATGGGACGGAACCACATATATGTGACACATGTTTTGGTTGCGGTACAAAACACTGGTATACAAACGGGTATTCAATTAATAGTAATTTTATAGTTAATGCAAAACAATGTCAATATAATTACAATTCTCTCATCATTTGGTATTCAGTGAAAACATTTGTAAAATTGTCTAAAATGTTGTTTTCAGTCAAACCATTGCCTAAATGTTTGTCCATTTTATTGGTGCCACAAATAGTTCACTAATTATTTAATTGCTTATAATTTATGGTTAATTATTACACTAATTATAATCGTATTTGTTTTGGTCGACACAAAACTGATTAACAAATTAATTAATTAAAACATTTTTTTCAATGAGTTTTTTAAAGCAATTATTTGTTTATTTTGTTTGCAATTTGTTATGAAATGTTGACATCATTTCACTCATCAATACATAAAACGTCCGATAATTGCATTCAATTAAGAGTTGAGCCAAACGTTGGTTTGCATTAAATGTCACTTATATTCAAATCAGTTGTCAATTAATTGTAAGTTTTTTTTGCAGATTTTCCACAAAATTAACACAATTTGTGTGAAAACAATGGGAATTGAGTGTTGATTGAGTGCCCAATGAATGCATTGATTGCCACGTATTTGATGTGCGAATGAATGCGTGAATTGTCTCTCAAAACGTATTAACCATTCATTCAATTCAATGACAGATCTGTTTGTTTTGAATGCAAATACACTTCAATACAAGTGTTAAGTGAAGTGATGTGGAGGTCGTCGTCGGCGGCGGTGGAGGACAACAGTTGTGTGGACACAAGTGGTGCGGAGGCCAGCGATGGACACGTGTTTGAGTGCGCCGTATGTCTGGACCGATGTCTGAATGGCGTACGACTGGAGTGTCGGCACGTCTTCTGCTACCTGTGTGTGAAGGGATCCGCACAACAGTCCAACAATCGGTGTCCCGTTTGTCGCCATCCAATCGCTCACAACTACTTCGACAGACCCGACCTCATCGGTGCCGTCCACTGGCGTCACACCGCGGATGACGAGCGCGACGACGAAGACAGCAAAGAAGACGGCGGCGACGCTTCCGAGCGGTCGGACTCCGACATGGAGTGGCAATACGAGGGCCGCAACGGCTGGTGGCTCTACGACTGCCGCACTTCACGCGACATCCATAAGGCATACAAAGCCAATGAGCCGTCGCTGGAAGTACTGGTCGCGGGCTTTGTTTATGTGATAGACTTGCAGAGAATGATTCAATACAGACGTCTCGATCCCAATCGGATCCGACGTATCCGTCGACAACCGCTCGATCCGACCACTAAAGGCGTGGCCGGACTTCGCACTCAATTCAGTCACATTTTATCGCAAACTCACAGCTCTTCCGTCGCCGCAGACAGTAATCACCGATTGATACCATTTATGGATCCATTAATTATCACATTTATTACTTCCATTTAGATTCAAATGAAAGCCAACCTTTGGATGGCAGTGAAGATAGAGGTGATACACATGAAGACAATTGCGGGACACAATCGACAGACAGAGCCTCAGCCCGAGAGGCAGTGGATGAGGAGGTGTTGTCGTTAGAGCAGGCATTCAATGCCAATCTCAATGTTAATGATTCTTAAGGACACATATCTCGAAAATAAATTATTATTTAATATATTTTAATCGTTTTTATAAACAAATATATATTTATTTGAATTTCAATATTTCACTGAATTATATACACATATAAATGGGTAAATCGTTTTATACTTTTTTTGTTTTATAAACCGTTTAGCGTTTCAATAAACAAAACTTGATTTTTAATATATATTTCTTAATAAACATAACGAAATAAAATCTACAATAAATTAATCAATCGTTCATTCGTTTAGAGTAT